CAATGGGGGTCAAAAACAAGAACAACTATGTACAAACAAGCTATATACAAAATAAATCAAGTAAACATAAAATAAGACTTGCAAAGAATTACGTCCAGGGGAGTACTACAGAATAATCACGTTAAATGCAACTGTGATGATTACTCCATTGCCTTATTTAATTGATTTTTATATACTTTAGAAAACTTTATAAGATACACAATTATGTTACTGACATTTCAATTAAAATAGTTAGGAATACAACCACTGTCTCTCCCCTCTTTACCAAAGTGGATGGGGGAGAGAGAAAAGGAGAACAGACACACACCTAACTTGCCTAATTTTATAGTAAACATCAACATAAAGATACCAACAAAATGCTTAGAGCTTACTCTAGCAAAGCACTATGCTCCTTGCTTGAAGAACAAAGGACAAGCTCTTCCCTCAACAAGGTTTGAGGTAGGCAGCAGTTATCACTGCCTCTGTCTCCAGCTCTCCATGTGGGTGGGGTGGAAGTGGTAACGGGAATGGCAAAGCCTCTCCAAGCTAGTTCCAAGCTCTGTCTAAAATTAATGCAGTTTCCCACTTTTATTTTTGATATATTTTTTCAAATTTATTGAGTTTTAATATTCTTTTAAAAATATTTTGAGTTTCAAATTCTTTTTCTGCAACTTTCCCCCTATCCATTGAGAAGGCAATGATAATGACTATACATGTGAAATGCTGCCCCGCAAAAGGCAAGAAAAATAAAGAAAACGAAAGAATTCTACTTCAATTTGCACTTATTTCATCAGTTCTCCCTCTGAAGGTAGACAGCATTTTTATCTGGAGTCCTTTGGAATGGTCTGAATCACTGTATTGACCAGACAGTACTGGCCATCAGGTCTTTCCCAGTTTTTTACAATATTGCTGCTACTATATACTATAATCTCCTGGTTCTGCTCACTTCACATAGCTCTTTCCAGGTTTTTCTGAAACAATCCTGCTCATAATTTTTATATAATAATATTCTACTGCAATTATATACCACAACTTGTTTAGCCATGCCCCAACTGATGGGCATCCTCCTCAATTTCCAATTCTTTGCCACCACAAAGAGTTGCTATAAATAATTTTGTACATACAATTCTTTCCTTTTTTATTTGATCTCTTGGGAATACAGAACTAATAGTATCGCTGGGTCAAAGGGTATGCACAGCTTTATAGCTTTGGGGCACAGTTCCAAACCATTCTCCAGAATGATTGGAGCAGTTCATAACTCCACCAACTGTGTCCCTATTTTTCCATGTCCCTTCCATCATTTGTCATTTTCCTTATTTCTATCATGTTAGACAATCTGATGGGTGTCAGAGCTGTTTTAATTTGCATTTCTCAAATCAATAGTGATTTAGAGCACTTTTTTGTAAGACTATAGGCAGCTTTGATTCCATTTCTTTTCAATATCTATTTGTCTACTAATGTGCCTTAAACTAACTTTACAAACAAAAATTGCTATTTCTAAAAGTTTTTAAATAATAAAATCCCTTTTTTATTAACCCAAGAGTAATGTATAAGATGTAGAGGTAACACTTAATCTAAAAAGATAAATATACAATCTAGAAAAATAAAAGTTTAAGGCAATTACCCGGAGAAAGCCAATACTTAATATGTAAAACTGACATTCCAAAACCTCTGGTTTCTATATCAATAATTCATTTGGTAATTGTTCTCCCAAATATATCAAGGTAGGTTTTAACTATAATTAGGAAATTTTAGAAGTAATCCCCAAAGTTCCAGTCTTTGAATAGAATGACACCAAACCTTTTCTGTTTTTAATGCTATTGTTATCATAGAACCTTAGTGCTAGATAGGACCCCTAAACACCCAATCTTCTCATTTTTCTTCCTGATTAGTACTCCTCCATTACCACGCCTTAAAGATCTAAAAAAGCATAGCAAGTAAAGTATCATAGATCTGTCAAACTATCTATTAGAAGGCTAATGCTCCTAAAAGAAAATAGTCTCATTTGGATGCCAAATGCTGGTCAGACTATATCTGGAATGTTATACTCAATTCTAGAAGCCACGTTCTAAGAATACTGACAGCAGCATGGTGAAGTGAAAAGAACCCTAAATATGGTGCCCCAAAGCCTGGCTTTTTATCCTTGCTCTGCTGCTCTGTGGCCTGGATACCTTTGTCTGAAAATGAGGAGGTAGGGATTAAATTCAATTTCCAGCTGAATGGACCTTTAGAAAGCATGTGGTGGAACTACATGCCTCACATTTTACAGGTGAAACAAAAAATTATTTGCCCAAAGTCACATAGGAAAGTAAGAGGCAGAGTCTGGAATTTAGCCCAGGCTCTTTTCCACCAAACTCATCACTCTTTCCAGGTAGTTGGAACTCTTGAGGTCCCTTTCAGCTCAAAATCCATGCCTATTACGAACCTGGAGGACTTTCAAATGGGCAGCTATCAGAGTTTGAAAACCATTTTCGGGTTAGGTATGGGATAATAAAGAAGACTAGAAGAAGCTCCAGTTAGAGCAGGTAGAAAAACCCATTTTTACCTATTTAAGAACCATACATAGGAACTGATGCCATGTAGCCCATTAAAGAGAAATTAAAAGATAGCTGTCTTTTCAAATAAATCAAAAGAGATCATATGGAAACACAAATTTTGTTTGTTGCTTTCAGAAGGCACTGGAAGAACAAATAGCAAAGGAGACAGATCAGGATTGTGTCCTTAAGCAAGTCTCAGTTTATGGTTCTATGATCCTCATCTATAAAATTTATGTATCAGAGGAAGAGGAGGAGACTAGATGATGTAAGATCCATCTAAATCCTGTGACTATGATCTTAACTCGAACCAATGGGGAATAAGTTAAAGGGCAACAGATCTGCACCTAATGAAGAATTTTCTAAATATTATACTTGAAGAAGGCTATACTGTTAAGTAGTTATTGGTAGAAATACTCAAGCAGAGTTGGGAAGTCATCTAAAAGGATACTGAAGAAGGAATCCTGCAGTATCACTATCGCTTCTACATTTAAGTTACTTCTTGCCACAGAAAATTTCAGGCGCCCAGTATTTGGAAACAGTATTTAGTTGTGTAAAATACTGCTGTACCGTAAATGGACTATGCCATACTACTGAAAGTCATCAATTTTGTAATTCAAGTTAAAACTCTTCTGTAACCAAATGAATTTAGTAATTTCTATTCTTTAAGACAAGAAAAAATAAATCATATTAAGGATTCAATTCATTAATTCAACAAGCAGTTATTTATTAAGCACCTACTAAGGGTGATTCACTGTGCTTTAGGGCAGGAAAAAAGACAAAATGTAAAGACAAAATGTCAAAGACAAAATGTTAGTTCTTCTACTGTGTAAGAACATACTACACCACAAAATAAACTTCAAGAAAAATTAAGTCATTTAACAGAAAGCCAGTAATAACAAAAATTCTAAGAATAGCTAACATCTATTTAACACTTATTTTATTTGATCCTCATAAAGTTCAGAGATCAGTTACCACTGCTGCTATTCCCACTTCACAAGCTTAGAGAGGTTAAATGGATTGCCTATGTCCACATAGTTTCTAATACCAGAATCCAGCTCTCCTCTGATTTCAAGGCCAACTTTTGTAAAGTTCTCAGTACATTACGTTGCCTGGCACAGAGAAGGTGATATATAAATGCTTATTGCCATCACCAATGCCAACAGCTCACCTTTCTACACATACTGTATAGCATGTACCACCTGCCTATAGCCTAATTTAAGACTTCCTTTGAGATCCTCTATATTAACAATTAGGCTGGTGTAAAGAATTTTATTTTCTTTTTAAAAAAGAAACAAGAACTTATATATAGGCTTTTATTGCTCAAAACAGCATCTTAAAAGGGCTTTTTAAAAATTAGTTCATACTCTTGGTAAAACAGAAACAAAGTTGTAGAGCAGGAAGTATGTTATATACAGTCAATGAAAGTACATTTCTACCCCAATGAAGAAAAACAAAACACAAAGATGAATCATTTCACCAAAAAATGGTGGTTTGTCCATTGGGCAACTAAAGATAGGAATTCTTTACTAACAGAAAGAAGAAAGCACTAGCATGGTCATTGTAGCTATGTTAATGTGGTTGCCACTGGCAACCAGATTTTTCAAGCATATCACACTTTCAGCAAGTCACAATTCTTTGAGGCAACATAAGTACTAAATCATATCTGACAGTGGTGGACAAGTCTGAGGCATACATAGGAAACCTCAAAGCCACTGGGCTGCTTCTTCAAATAAACCGGAATCAGGAACAGATAGTATTGCAAAGGAAACTCATCAACCTAAAATCTTTCTGTAGAAAGACTTTGCTCTTTCCTCACCTCACACTTCACTCCATACTCCCCTCACAAAAGGAAAAATATCGCACTGTGTTTGCTCATTCCTATCCTGAGGGCAAGAAAAACTCTTGCTGCCAACCCCTAAAAAGTCTCAGGACTAAGACATACCTTGAGAAAAAGAGAAGGGAGAGCACAAATGACATAAGACATCTAGCTCTTCTAACTTTATTGAGGCATTAGTATTGAGCTTAAACTAATTCGGTTTATAATCTTCTCAATCACATATACCACAGTTATCAAATTTCTAAAGTGATCATGATTCTTTAAACATATGAAGTAATCTCAATAGAAAGTCAAATTATATAAATTATAAATATTAATTCTATTTCTTAATTATATATTATATAAATTATATATTAATCTATTAGATTAATAGATTAATTAATTAATCTACTCCCATACTCCACTGAATCTAAAAGGAAGCACAGAGAAAACAGCAAGGAAAGTGAGGGAAATATTTTTAGCATGCTTTTTAAAATATAAATTGACCAATTAAGCCAGCTCATATACAGATGCATTTACAACAATATTCTAACACATAATACACAGCTTCATTAAAATATACAATATAAACTGTATATTTTCAACAAAAAACAAACAGAATTTAAAACATTTCAAAATTCAAACATCCAAAGAAACAAATTAGTTACCTGGCTCTTCCTTAATAAATTGCAAATCCTCTTCTTGGTAAGAAGCAGATGTCTGCATCACTGAGCAATCTTCTAAGTTCTCTTCATTATTAGGTGGTATATTATAAATAAATCTTTTTGTAGTTTGGTTTTTTCTCCTTGCTTTGCCAGTTTCTTGTACTCCCTGTGATCCCATATCATTCCAAACAAACACTTTTGACTGACCTTGGGATTCACTCTCAGCAGTTTCAGGTGAACTGTCCTGGACCCAACTACAGTCATTCATTTGGTAGTTTTCTATTTGGCCCTCATCAATACTGCAACCATCATTTTCACTTTTTATACTACTTGCCAAATTCGTAAGATTTCGAGTTGCCCAAAATCTGGCAACCTTCTGATCCCTTGATGAAGGCAGACCATCTCTACTAATAGATCTCCGGTTATAGTCCACAACTACAGATTCTGGAGCTTCTGATTTTATGCTTATATTTAAGGCATCTTTAATAAAATTGCGGCAAGATTGAACAACTTCAGTCATCTGAAGATAGCTGGCCACTGACATTACTTCAATGGCATTTTGGCTAGTAAGCACCAGATTACCAGAATACAAGAAGTCCAAGATGACTGAAAAACCTTGAACTGCAGCAACATCTAAATGGGTAACAGTGGTTTGGTTACGGTTTTCTTTGTTTGGAAGGTTTTCTTTGTTTGTAAAGCAATATAGAGTCTTGAAATAACGGCTGCCTGCAACCAGATGTTCTTGTGAGCTCTGAAAACTCGTCCGCTCACCACAATGTCAACATCACAAAGAATGCCTTTCTTTCTCTGCTCATTCAGTTCTTGAAGAAGTTGATAACAGTAAGAGTTCTCGTTTGGCCGACTGTTATAATCACAGTATCCCTCTTCATTAGTTGATTCTGATGGTACTCCTTCTGATTCCTGTAATTAGACAAAAAAAAATATGAATTTGAAATTAATTTCCTTTTTAAAGTTCTAATGCTACCTTGAATAAAATGAATAATTTGCAGTGCAGCTATTCTATCTTTTAAGAAAATAATAATTAAACTGACTGACTTGTTAATAGTAACCATGTTTTATAATTTCTCTCACAAAGATGGGAGGAAGAAATGGGAAAGAGACATTCTCTCCCTGAGGGAAAAAAAAAAAACAGAGTGCAGTATACCTAATAGCTCTGAATATGTGACTAACTTCAGGAAAATACTAGAAAAAAGCATGATGCTTCTGATCAATCTGCTTGGGTAGATAAAGTAGGGCATTTTAAGGAACTAAAATTCATAGTTCTAAATTCTTTCACCATTCACAATGATTATGAGCCAGTTGTCCAAAGGTATTATCTTTTTTTTTAATCTCAACAGCTTTTCCCTCCCAACTTTCTTTCCTCAAGACTATCCTATACTGTAGCTTACATAGCGTTTTACAGGTGTGGACATGAAGCTAAGTATCAAAGCTAAAAAATCAAAGCCCAAGACTTTTAACTTCAAACTTAAGTGTTTTTTCTACTACACCAACTTGACAAATTGGAAATTTGGAATGTTTACTATTTATTTTCCTCTATGTGTAGAGATTTCTTTAATATGAGAATAAGACCAAATTTATTTTTGGATGAAGAGCCAGCACAAATATAGCATATGCTATTTTGAAAATTCTCAGGTTTTCCTAATTATCAGATATGAAAGAATGAGAAACCTTTCCCTGCCTATATAAATCTTACAAATCACCTTTATATTGTTATTCTCTACTGAAGAGGCATACTGTCAAAGTAGAAAAAGCACTGTAATCAAGAGAGAAGTAGGTTCAAAATCTCATGTGTATCCATGGTCAAATCACAGTTGGGTTTCAGCTGCCTCATCTAAGAAATGAAAATAATATCTGTAGTATTTGTTTCAAAAGGAGGAGATAATTGTGAGATAATGTGAAGCACTTTTACAGCTCCTTCAAGTACTGTATAAATGGATGGTAGGTATACTTTAAAATCTGGAATCAATAGTTCTTAGCTTCAGCTAAAGCTTGTGCACTGATTTTGGTAAAACTGAATCAAAACAAATACAACTTTATTCATAAGAATTAATCATCTTTTTCAAGAAGAAACAAATATTTTGTTAACTAGAAAGATGAAGAGAAAAATGCTGATCATTTTAAACCAGGGAAGTATTTTCTCTTTAGCAATATTTTTAAAAGTTTACTACGAGGGGGACGAAGGCAGTATGTTACCAACCCATAAAGGCTGGCCTTGGAATCACAGAACCAGTCTAACCCTTGTTTAGCTAAGTGACCACCGGCAGTCACTGGACATCTCAGCACCTACAGTACATGTCAAAGAATCCAAGTTAGGGAAAATTAATTAATATGCAGAGGGCAGGGAGTTCTCACTCAGCAAATAAGTTGTTTTATACACCAAGATCTGGCCCCCCCCCAAAAAAAAACTAGGAGGGAGAGCATGAATTCTAGCATTTATTCTATGCTCTACCCATTATAAAGATAAAAACTGCTGTCATTCACAACTAAAAATTTGTGCCATCTATTTTGGCAAATCAAATTCTGAAACAAATCAGAATATTCTTGAAGTTAAATTAAAATTATTTTCTTATTGTTTGGATTAGTTGGTTATTAAACAGTTTTAAGGAAGTTTTTCATTGCTTTTGTGTTCAATACCTCCTACTCACATTTGAATAGTAGCACTGTGCCATATGTTTGTTATTAGCAGCTGTTAAACATGCCCTTCAATTGAAGCTTGTCAAGTCAAGATGTGTACTCTTGAGGACAAAAACTGGAAAGTGCTTTTCCTTTAAATCACGTGTCCCCAAAGAGAAATTTGAGGATTTTATTAAAAGACATGAATCAGCAATTATATAGCACTATAAAAAAGTGACAATATGACTTAATGAAAAAGAGTACAAATTACAAAATTCTTGATGGAACCTAGAAGAAATTAGAAAATAGACGAATAAATTTTAAAAGGTCAACCAAGCTTTATGTTTGTTTTTTATAAAAATTCAAGTTAGTGGGTAAATTCTGAGTAGGAGGATTTTTCTTTGGCTTAAAGTCATCAGTATGCAGAGGTGGGATGGTGAAAAAAACTTCAAGTTCCAAAATAAAGAAAAAAAGTTTACCTAAATATTAAAATTAGATGAACAAGAACAATTTGAAGACTCAGTTAAGTCCAGGACTTTATACAGGTGGGTGGAGTATTAGTTTATAACTTCTGGAGACAAGTATAGTCATGAAAAGGTAAGAACTAGAAGGAAGAGAGAACCAACCCCTACTTCAACATCTACAATATTTCTTACACGTGGTAATCTAGCCTCTGCCAGAATACCACCAGTGCCAACGATGAGAATAAAGATTACTGAGGTTGAGAGATTAGGTTAAGTTATTTGCCTGAAGCCATACAGAAATATTTTGCAAAGCCTTTTCACAAGCTTCAAATCCCATGCTCCTTCCAATAAATTTTTACATGGCTCAAATTGTTATAAAGTTCCTCCCTACATTGAACTGAAATCTATCTCCTTGAAACTTTTTCACCAAACTGGTTCTATTTCTCTCCTTTGAAACCAAGCATGAGACTTCATCACTCTTGTGGTTTGTTTTGTTTTTTAAAAGCAAAGAGTTCTGTGAACAGATCAACTTATTTTAAGATTCATTTACAGAAAACGGTGGTTAATTTTAGATACAGGAAAGTTCTTTAGGAAAACCTAGGCTCACGAAGTTTGTGACTTAACACCCCTCACTCCTTAGCCTAATATTTACTTATTCTTTTTGATGTACTGGCTTCTCCAATTAATAGCTATGTAATCAAGAGAAACGACAACCTGAACTGCTATATGATGGAAAGAAAGGTTTGGGAGTTACTTGACCCCAGTGATCTTGTACCTGGCACTTAAGCTCTGTCTCTCAAATTTTTCTTCTACAAAATGAGGATGTTGGACTAGATGGAATCTAAAAAAGGTCTCTTTTGGTTCTAGATCCATTTCCTCATCTATTAATGAGTCTAATACAACACTACTTAGGAAACAGTGCTGGATGTGAAATCAGTTAGACCTAGACTTCTTTTGCAGCTTCTTTGAATTTACTGGGCAAATGACTTTGCCTTTCTCAGTTTTGGTGTCTTCATCAGTAAAATGAGGACAACAATACTTGCACAATATAACTCACAGGATTGTGGAAAAAGAACATTGTAAAACTTTAAAATGTTATACAAATGGAAGGCAATATCGATTACCTACTTGTAGGGCTGGTATAAATCAAATGAAATAAGTAAAAGTACTTTGGAACTTAGAAGTGCTACAGAAGATCACTGGCTATCACTGGCTATAATCAACCATACATTTTGCTTTATTGTTTGCCTTAAAAATCTCATTTAAACTTCAATCACTTGATCAAGTAACTATTACTACTTTTGTGACAGGAGTAATAGAGAGCTAAAAGCCAAGTTAATGAGTGGTAGGCATCTAACACAGAACTGTAAGACTAAATCACTTAAAAGCATCTTAATAAAACTAAAACCTGAATACATATATAAAAGGGAAAGGAATAATTCTCTAAGAATTGTTATTACAACAAAACAATCTGTAGCAGCAATTTGAAGGAGAGAACACACACACACACAAACACCTCAGCACCTTTCCTCACCATTTCTTCCACTTCCATACAAAGAATAATGAAGATAAATGAGGTATTGTTTGGACAGGAAGAATAAGAGATTAATTTCCATTTGCCTGAATTATTTGCTCCTGCATCTAAACAGTGATAAATATATATAGAAACACATTCATAATTATAGATACACACACATATACATACATACATACATACACACACATACAGCACACATATACACCTTCCAAACCAAACTCTGTGTGCATTCTACACTTATGTCCAGTACAGACATTGCCAGGGGGGCAGCTAGGTGGCGTAGTGAATGGAGCTCTGGCCTTGGAGTCAGGAGGACCCGAGTTAAAATCTGGCCTCAAACATTTGACAGTAACTAGCTGTGTGACCCTAGGCAGGTCACTAAAACTTCTCTATCATCCAAAAAGATCATATTCACCAAGATCACATCATTCCAATAGTTTACCCAAGTTATATCTAGCTAATACAGGCAACAGAGCAGAAAAATAAAAAATCTCAGGACCTTGGTCTTAAATTAAAAATTTTAGGTTAGCTTTAGCTTCCTCAACCCACGTAGCAAATTTCATTGAGTCTTTGTTTTCTTTTCCTTCTTCCTACAGTCTGTTTAGAGGCTGTAATGGCCAGAGAAATGCCTTAAATAGTAAGGGATATAAAGTGGGTCTATATCCTGACAAAATGGATAAATGACACTAAATAATCAAGGATGGAACTTTATGAATTTTTTGTATGAAAAAAAAGTTTAAAATCATTAACAGTGTTCCATAGTAACTTTTTTGCTGTTAAGTTTGGAAAACATTTCCAAGACAAAAATTATACAGTATTATTATGTATAGTTAAGAGACTAAGTCTATACCAAAAATATCAAGACTGCTTCAAGTTCATTGTTATTGTTATGAAAATGAGTTTAAGCAAGCCTACCAGCACATTCTGATTTCTCACAAATGCTGAGGAATTCACTTTGGCAAACTCAACTAACAGGTATTATTTATACTTGCTAAAGAGTAACTTCAGGCTACATATCCCAAGCTAAACAACTGTGAAGCTTTGCTATAAAAAATTTCTTTAAAGAATATTACAAAAGACTAGAAGCTTTATTCTTACCACAACCCAGACTGCTAAAAAAAAAATAAACATATCTGAAACATATAGTAAAAGACCATAACTGAAGACATCCTAATAGTTTCAACTGTTGAACAAGTAACCAATAACTAATGGATTTATGTAACACCCAATTCCCTCAAATTATAGGGAGTATATTGTGTTGTACAGTATAGTATATCAAATTATATTATATAGTGTATCATTTACACTTAGAAAATCTAAGTCCAGAGAGGTCAAGTAACTTGCCCAAGATGACAATGCTACTTAATGGTACCTCCCAATTAGAACTAGTCTGTCTTCCTTTCTACTATACATGGTAGCTATGAAATAAAAAGAATGCCACTTCCACACATACAAAAGCTATTTTCTAATACTTCAAAGATTCAAAAATAAATTGCAGAAACATTTTAATGTAATTCAGAAGAAGCCAAGAGATTAGAAAGCATTAAATAGTAATCATGTCCCTACCTACCACCTGTACCCTCCAACGCCTTATTGATATGAAATTAAAAGCAGCAGACTTGGACAGCATTAATGCTAGGAAAGATTGCTACACTAAAAAATTACTTTAGTCTGAAGGAAATATATAAAAAGAATGCTGAGCTAGGAAATTTAGGTAATCAACCAAATTGTTTCTTAAGTAAGCTTCATCTTTTAACTATTTCTCCCTCTTGCTTCCTGGGTAAAGGTTTCTCACTTTGTTTCCAATTTGTAGATATGAAGGAGTTAGTTGTTCACCTGCTAGGAACCATTTATGCCAAATGGGGGGAAAGCTGACATATTTGCTTTACGTTCTTTGCTTCAACTGCCATTCAGCTCTAATTCTGATATATCAGCAAAAGAACTGATCAATCAGAAAGTCATTGGAGACAGAGAGACAGGAGAAGAGTCACTGGTCTGATCTATCAATTAACTGCCTGAAAATATTAACTACAGATTTGGGTGTGCTGTCACTTTTATAACAAATATATAAAAAGGAACTGCCTTAATTTCCATTTTCAAAAATTTCAAAACCTAACAACTTACTGAAGTTATCTCAGTATAAACTTTCCATATTTTCAGACACAACCACCACCTTCAAATACATACTAATAAGAATTAACTTCGGACCAGTATTAAAATACAGCCACCTATGGGTAAGCACAATACTGCAGACTATGACTTGAGATGGAAATGCTCCTCAGAAGTTTAGGATAAGAAAGGAAGCCAATTTAAACACCAGGAAATACTTGGAGTAACATGAACAGACCTCCCACAACAACCAGTTCCCACATATGACTACAGGGCTGCTTTATAAACAAGTAATTAGCAGCCCAATTTTGCATTTAACCTAAAATAATGGTGTGAAATCTGTCAGTAGTTTGCAATTTGTAACAGTAAAATACTTTGATGAATTCTGACAGTCAAAGCAATCTCTGGACATGAGTGAAATTTATCCTGTAAAGGTGCAATATTCTTTGATTCTGGCACAGGAATAAAATGGGTTACAGCCAGAATGGATTAGGAATAAAGAGTAGAGAGACAAGGAAGCATTAATCCAAGACTGGTAAGACTGTACCCCTAAAGAGTACATACTGTGGAAGATAAAGTACAAGGATGCATTGTACCCAAGAATAAGTACAGAGCTTCATACCCTGTATCACACAAATGTTTGGTATATGAAGGATGTGCCAAAATGTAAGTGTGAGCTCACAGACCTTAAGGACTGAAAAGGACCATCTAGTTCAGGGGTTAGTCCAAGTCTTCTTAACACTTTTTTTTTGGTCACAGACCCTTTATCAAAATGTTTCGAGTGCGTAAAATAAAACATATAGCATTCCAAAGCAAACAGATTAGACTGAAATAGTTTTCAAATTACAAGTTACCAAATACTAGGTCAAGAACTCCTGATTTAGCCCAAGCCCATCATTTTACAAATGAAGACTGTGACCCAGAAAGACTTACTATTTGCCCAAGGTTATAAAAGGTAAAGTACCACAGACAAAAATTTGAACCCTGGTCCCCTGACTCCTAATTCAATTCTGTATCCTATTAGGTATAAGACAAATTTTGTTAATAACATTTTACTTAAAATGGTGTTTGCATAAAGCCTTTAATTTTCAAGTATTAGACTAGGAGTTAAGAGACTTAGTTCTTAGTTCTCACACTGCCATGCTTGTGCGATTCTCAGGCAAATCATTTGGGCAAATTATCAGTAAAATGAAGAGATTGAAAAAGATCTATAATCTAATAAGGTCCCACAATAAAAAAAAATAGTAATGAATTTCACGGCGTTGCTTATGTACAGAGGTCCACCAGAGGTACTTCTTGGGGCCAACTAATATTTATGTCATCACCATGTGCCATCGTCTGTTGTTAAGAGGCTTACGTTAAAATTTTAACTCGATTCCTGTGCTGTTATCAATAAAAGACCAACTACAAAGTGAGATCTCTAAATATGGATCATCATTTTAATCACTTCAATTCACTGCACTGACACCTGAGAGACTGCATCTGTATAACTTAGTGATGTTTCTGACAACTGCCTCTAAAGATGAATTCTACCTATTAACTGAAACACACTGGTTACACCAAATGCCCAAACCAGCTTAGATTCAAGCTGGATAAGATCAAGATAACACGCCGGAACTACAAATTCCTATTATTTCATTAGGTTTGGCTCTGGGAGTAATATCACGCAGCTCAATAGCCAGCCACCACAAAAACTGGTCTATTCATGACTTCTGTCACTTTGGCAAATTACTTTGAAAACAAAAAGGAAGAAGTCAATGGCCTGATGTAAACAGTTGTATCTGCTCATATCATCCTACCTCTAACAACAAGGAGAAAAAAAGGTTATCTAATAAGGAATACTTAAAAGCTATTTTACAACAAGTTTAAGAAAAGAACAATGCCCAGAGACAAACCTGTAAACAATAATTCTTTAAGCAAAGAGATGAGTAAAAAAATTTCATTCACAAGTCAGAAACAAAGCGCCTGCTCCCGAAGAACTTCTCCTACTCTACAATCGGTTCAAAATTTCAAATTATCCTGATTTAACTTTTAAAAAAATTACTGCAAGGATTGTCCTAAAAGTTGAAGTAAAGGATGTCATTCTTAAATCGGCTACTAGCCTTCAGACTAGACTTGGCTCAGAATAGTAATATTAACATTAGTCAAGACCCATAAAGTCACAGGCATATTTTAAATGGGTTGTCAGTGCTGATAAACTTAGATGAATAGAAAATGCAACCTTTTAAGCGAGAAACTGCAACCTTTTATGTGCCTAAGGAAACCTAATCTTGATCCAATCAGATAAGATACCAGCAAAGCAATCTGCTTATTAGTCACAGAAGGTAAAACTGGTCTTTAACGCTAATTCTGCATAACAATTAGAATTGTCAATCAACGATCAAACATTTTAAAACCCATTCCCCAACACTGCTCCCCGAACCCCCACTCCCAAAAGGCTCCCACTACAAGCCTACAATTTCCTACAATCAGAAAGACCCCTCCACCCAGAAATAGGAGTTGCTGGGGAGATAAGCCTTCCTCAGAAAGGGTCCGGGAAAGTAAGGAGGGTTTGCGCTGTGCCGTACCTGCGTGTTGGATTCGTGAAGTCTGTGCTCGGCGGAGAGATGGTGCCTGAGGAGGAGGGCTCTCTTGTAGTTACGAGTCCCCCTCGAAAGCTCATCGTGGCCCACTAGGGGCAAGTCCCCACTGCCCCCATCCTCGGGAGTCTTTTGGCACCAGGAGCAGGACATGAGGCCAGTGTCCTGGCAATACTGCAGCCAAGAAAACTCCTTCAGCCAGGAGGTTTGGAAAGAACAGTGCAGCTTCTGCAGGAGGGACTTGGGCCGGGCCAGCGGGAAGTGCTGGACGCTCTCTCCTTCCCCGGCTCCCACGCTGCTGCCCTCCGCCTCATCCCCCCCATCGCCTCCCGACCGCCTGCTGCTGCTGCAGCTGCCGCCTTCCGCCCCGCTGCCGTCGCCCAGACTCGCCCCCTCCTCCTCGTCCTCGCTGCTGTCGCTCAGGGACGCCCCGTCCTGCACCAACTCTTTCCCCTCCAGCACATCCAGCTCGAGGTCCTCGTCCGCCGTCCCCCGCCCATTGAAGTGCCTCGGGGGCCACGCCGAGGCCTCCGCGCTGCCGCCGCTGCCATTGTTACTGAGACCCCCGCCACCGCCTCCACGGAAGGCCAGAGTCCGGCGGTTCCTCTCGGGGAACATGGGGCCCCCGGCGCCGCCGCTGCCGCCGCCGCCACCGCCCAGCGAGGCGGGGCCGCCCCCGTCCTGCGCGAGAAGCAGGTCCTTCCCTTCCTCGGCGGCGGCGGCGACGGCGACGGCGGCAGGGGCAGGGGCGGCCGTGGCGGCGGCGGCCTCCAGGTCTTCGGGTTCCAGGCCCTCCAGTTCCACTTCCTCGTCTGCCCCCCGCCCATTGAGCTGCTGTTGCTGCCGCGGCTGTTGCTGGGGCGGCCAGGCCGAGGCCTCCCCGCCGCCACCGTTATTGTTCGTGGAGCCGCCGCCGCCGCCGCTGCTGGCGGTGACCAGCCCGCCTCCTCGGAACGCCAGCGTCCTGCGGTTCATCTCAGCGAACATGGCGCGCGCCGCCGCAGCCGCCCGGTGCCCCCGGCTCGCGCCCGGTCTCGAGCTCCGTCTCGCGCTCGCTCCGTGCCCCCGTCTCGCGCGCTCCCTCGCTTTGCTCCCCCCCTCCTCTTCCTCCTCCTCCCCCGCCCCCCTCCCACCCACCCCCCCCCTACCCCCGCCCCTGACGCCCCGGTCTCGCGCTCCTCTTCTCTCCCCCCTCCCTTCCCTCCGGTCTCGCGCTCACGGTCTCTCTCACGCGTCTGGCGAGCGCCTGGCTTCTTCCTTGGGCCGTTCTCCTCCTCCGCCCCCCTCCGTGGCGATTTCGAAAAGCGCTTCGCGGGAAAGGTTAGGGGGCGGGGGGAGGTGGCGGAGGCAGCGGCGACGGTGGCGGCTGCGGTGGAGGAGGAGGCACTAGGGGGTGCGTGGGGCCTTCAAAGTTGAGAGGCGGAGAGTAGGGAGACCCTCCCCTGCCCCCTTCGGAAGGCCGGCGAAAAGAGAGAGCCTTCTCTCGGGGCGCACGAGTCCGGACCCCGCCGCCAGCCTCCGGAGCCGAGAGGACCCGCGGCGCGCCGGGCGGCCGGCTTCCACCATATAAAAAACCGACAATGAACCCGGCGGAGCGTTTCCGTCCGACCAGGCCCTGGCGGAGGTCGAATGGCAAATGAACAACGGACTGTGCGCCCACAATGCACCGGGGTAGCAGTAACCGCTGGAGGGGGAGAGGGTGGGGGCCGGGCTGGGGAGGGGGGCTGGGCTTGGGGGTGGGGGGGCGCCAGGGGAACGGGAAAGGGGCTGGGCTGGGCCTGTAGGGGGGAGCGGAAAGGAAGCCGGACCCGGGGGGTGGGGTGGGGGTGGGGGCGGGGGCGGAGGAGGTGAGTGGGGCGTGGGAGGTGTCACCCAAGAAGGTGAGAGGATTATTGGGGGCTTGGAGGGAAGGGGGCCTGGTCTGAGGGATGAGGAGAAAGGCCGAGCCGGGCGAGGAACAGCTGGCGAGTGTCAGGTTGTGTTGCGTTCGCTCCAGCCGGCCCGCACCTCCTCGCCCCCGGCTTGCTCGCCTGCCTGCCCGGTTCTCCTACCCGATCCACGAGCTAACAGCCCCGATATGAAGTGTTTTGAAAATAATCTCCGCGTAGGGAGCCGGGTTATCCAGCCTTTGGCATTTGGTCCGTGGTGGGTGGGAGTAGCCCGAGTAACTGAACTTAAGTTCGTCCTTTCACAAAGGCTGGACCGGGCGATGCATTTGGAGTGAGATGATTGCACCATGGACACCTCCTCCTCTGATGCATTGTGTCAGTGTGTCTGCGTGTGCGGGAGTGAGGGAGGCAGCACCCCGGGCCCAAGGCAATAATCATGTCACAGAAATGCACCGCCCCAAGTGTCTTATTGCTGTGATGAAATGGAAATTTAAATAAAAGGTCGAACACGTGCGTTCTCTGGGAAGTATTGACATGGGTGTTACATCACCGGCAGCCAATCAGATAACTCCAGTTGTGTTTATATTTCTACAACCACCTTGTGAGTATTACAGTATGTCATAACGTTATAAATATTAGGCAGGGTTTTCCCCGGAGTGGGGAGGAGTCAGCTTATACGGTATTAGTGTGTGGCACGAAGATAGTGCATTTAAGATAACAGTCTTCATTAAAAAAAAATCCACTTGAATGGTTTCATTTTTACTGTAAGCCAGAAGTAATTAGAGAGACAAATTTGAGATGAAAATAAAGCTGCCTTAATATAGTCTTAGAAAAGAGTTTCAGACTTTTACTTACTTGAGGATGGCCATTATTTTAGGTAAAAGTGCTTGTGTGTCTTAAATGATGCCTAACCTTTATTAAACTGATCTGTTTTTAAATGTGAACTCATTAATTTTGTAAAACTTTTTCAAGTAAAGTTATTATTTCAAATATGGAGTTTGATTGTGTTTTTTTTTTAACTATTTCAAAATCAATGTTCATCCTTGGACTTTTACACAGGTTTAAGGAACTCTCCCTATCAATATAAATACTGCAATTCTTATGCAGTGGTATGTAATTTTAAGAGTCTTGCCTGGGGGCACTGAGAGAGGTTCAGTGATTTGCCTTGGGTCATATTAGGTAGTAGATTTCAGAATTAAGACTTGAACCTAGGTTTTTCTGACTCTTTTAAAGTTTTAAGCATCTTATGATTTTTGGTTGTGAGATTCTTGCTTTGATTTCTAGAGTACTATTTGCAATTTAATTTTTTGTATTCTCATTTTAAAGTAAAAATAATGCTGTACTTGCCTTCTATGCTTCTAATTATGAAACCTTAGAAAATATCATACCATATATCTAATTAATTTGCTTCCAAATTAAAATGTGATTTTTCTGGAAGAAATTTTATGAATTATTTTAACACTTTTAAATTAACATAGTATGTCTTTATATCATTGGCTTAGAGTCAACTACTAAAAGCAGTTTTCATTTAATACAGTGCTGTTTCAAGTAGAATATGTAAAGCTGTCTCTCCTAAACATCTAACTTTTAACAAAATCAATTCTGCTTTGTAGTTTAACTGTGTAAAGATGACACTACTCACCACTGGTGAAGTAATGATTTTTGTGGGTTTTGCCCAGTGAAGTAGATTAGTTGATTCAGCTGTGATATCCACATTATTATTTGGCTCATTTGGTGACCAACAACAGAGATATCTGGTCTGTTTAAGAGTGTAATCTGTGGCCCTGGAGCTAGGGGTTTTTGTTTATTTTTTTCCTCTCTGAATCAGTTAACTAGCGTTTAAGATTGACCCTTTGGCATTATCACCATGTTCTAGCTGTACATTTTAATGATAGAAATGAGGTGGAGGAGGGGTGATATGACATACTCAGTATCTTCTAGTGAGAGAAATCTGGTAAGCAAATGGGGATCCCCTGCTCTCTAAGTGGTCATACAGGAATTTCCCCACCCTTTCCATATTCCTACTAGCAAATAGAAATCCTTTCTTCTGACCCTTAAAAGCCTACATTTTCTATTGAGGTTCTGCCAGATTAAGGAAATTCCCACTCTGTTGGGGAACCCCAGGAAGATGGGAGAGCCCCACTTTAGATCTAGATACAAACAATTGAACCCCACTAAAGAGATTGTAGATAGCCTCAGTAGTTATGGTTCATTAGATGTTTAATCTTGTTTATGGCATCTCATTAAATTTGAGTCTGTCTTGTGTGGTAGCTATTACTCTGCTACTCTGGTTTATATTCACTACTCACTTGTTTCTGAATACATTTTGACCTGTAAACCTTTTGGAACTAGATCAGTGACTTTAAATCTTTTTAAGCCCCCTAAGGTCCTATCACCACCTTGCTTTTTAAAATGCAAATAGACACCCAGAAACAAGCTTACTTATATCAGAGTGACACTGATTTTTTGATACTTAATGCTTTTAAGATTCTTTTTTCTTCAATAAGTTTGGAGGGTACAGGGTGGTATAGAGAGAAAATCCTGTAAAAGTCATTCAGTGTTTTGAGATTGCAAATTGAAAATCAAATTAGTTAAGAACAAAAGGACAAAGCCTTCTAATAATAATGGCTTATATTTGTAGCGAATTTTATATATCTCCAAATAGTTCTTTTACATATATCATTTGTTCCTCTGAGATGAAGCAATTTTAATTATTTTCATTTTTAAAATGAGGAAACAAACCCAGAGAGAGATTTGGGCCATAACAGCTATCTAGTAAGTGTTAGATTCAAACCTATGTCTTTTAATTCCAAGTCTACCGCTTTTTCCACTATGCCATACTGTATGTAATGTCACTGTATATGGAACAAGTAAGTTAGTAGTTAGTACAGTGCCTGGCACCTAGTAGGCACTTAAATATTTATTGATTATTGATTCATGTAGTATAGCCAGGAAATATTTAAATCTTATGGTTTATAATGTGCTTGAATTTTTCCTCTTGCCTTGCAGTATATTAAAATGGAGTTAGAAATTTTTAATACCTTAAAAGTGTTTGCCTGAAGCAAATGATGAATTCAGTTTGAGGTTCTATATTACTGTACTCAATTGGGTACCAAAATATATTGGACTATATAGTCTCGGTAGCAAAACCATTCATCTTGATGGCTTCCCCTAATTTCCTGTCCTCAGCTGATCTTCTGGTGGACTATTTAAAGCTGCCATAGGTCACCTTGACCTTGCCCCACTATTGCTCAGAATCAACTGGGCTAAGCTGTTGTAGCAAGACCCAAGTTCCACTGTTGATCTCCCCTTGACTACATTGGGCTATCTAAAGCTACCATGGCCCAGAAAATTGTCCAGGTGCTGTGTAGCACAGTAAGAAAATTGCTGGCTTTCCCATTTCAGAGACAACACAGAGTGACCTGTGACTTTGTCCATGGAATTGCTTGCTTTTAACCTGCCTGATGGGATGCTATTCTTTGTTGGGACATTTGGCTTTTTTTTTTCTTTTTTGATTAAAGAGAGCAAGGAAAAGAATGTCTTAAACTACTGAATTAAATTTTGTGCTAAATTTCTGTAAATGTATAATTTTTTTTTGGAACTGGACTTGTGATTTCCTTGTCTAGAGGGAAAAAGCATCCTCTCTACCAGTGCAGATCTTCAATTGCTATGCAACTTTTAGTCTTAGAGCCTGAGGACATTAAAGATTAGTTGATTTTACCCAGGGTCACATAGCTAGTATGTGTCCGAGAGCAGGACTTGTACCTAAATCACACTGACTCCCAGGCCAGCTTTCTCAGTTGCTAAGGTGCATCTCACTATGATAATTAAAATATATTAGTAATACTTTGTTACTGATGTCTTTCTAAGCCACTTAAACTGAATTACTGACATTATTTAATTAATTCCTGCAACAACCATATGAATTATTTAAGGAGTGGCTATTATCTTCATTTAACAAATTAGGAAACTGGAGACAGGTTAAAGTTAAATGACTTGCCTAAGGTCATTTGATGAGTCAGAAGAGGTAAGTAGTACATAGGACTCCAGGTTGCCATTCCAGTGCATGATACACTAGTATAAATTGCCTTAACAATTAAATTATATATTGTGTGTTTTAAAATGTTGCATAATACATCGTTGCATGATATTTCAAACTGCAGAATATCTAAATGTAATCATTTTTTCCTGATCAT